AAATTTTAGAAAATCTACTCTATGAAAATATCTATGTCAAGTTTATCTGAGGAGTTCTATTGCTTTTTCTCTCAAAATATGCTTTTAAGCAGCTTGCAGTATTTAGTCTGGTAGTCTCCTTCACTCATACTATACTCCAATGTTTCTCAACCTCAGTGACTTTAAGATGTATGAACTTCAACTCCAAAAATTTCCCAGCCAGCACACATCTTAAAGTCACCGAGACTGAGAACACTGCTATACCACGAATAAACAGTCTTAATGGTACAGTGGTGCCTATGAATCAATCTGCTCACCCTAATACACCTAAATGAGTCAGATTCACAAGTCAGGAATGAACATGATTTGAAAAATCAGTAGAAGAACTGAATCCTATAGGTAGTGAGAATGACCATGGCAAAAAGAAATCAGAGCTGCTAGATTTTAGCTGATGAAGCATCTTGAAGGGGCCCCGAAATGGCAATAGCTTCAATCTCCACACAGGCACCCTGGAAGGAAGAAATATAACATATAAAATCAGGGCAGAGTTGGTTTGTTTAATGTAGGACTCCTCCAACTCTTCAGCTCATTATGTTTTAGATCAGTGTTTCTCAACCTTAGTGATTTGAAGAGGTGTGGATGTCAGCTCCCAGAATTCCCCAACCAGCCTTGCTGCCTCGGGAATTCTGGGAGTTAAAGTCCATACCTCTTCAAGTTGCTAAGGTTCAGAAACAGTGTTTTAGATTATTCATCGACCATTGCAGACATTTAAAATATGAAAACAGTAAATATATTTTACTATAAATAATAGTAATAAGAAGAACATTGTCCAGCACTGGAGAAATCAGGAAATCCAAACACTTCAAATGAATATAAACAATTATTGCAAGCTTAAGCTCTAAACAAGAACCTGAACTACTAATGGTCAAAGTAAATTGGCAGCAGATAATTCAAGATGGGTTGGACTTAGTTTTCTTATGGCCGGGAAGGGACTAAAGATGGTTGGTGCATTTGATCCCCCCCTTGGCCTCAGCCTGGTCATCTCCTACGAACACTGATCCCTTGGATAATCCCATCAAGGTTTGGGGATCATTATTGACTACTTTGAAGAACCCTGGTTTAATGTATTTAATTCGAATACATTTAATATGAGTTTACAAGGACAGTAAACCCTAAATTAATCAATCTCTCTTCTCACAAAATCACAGCAATATGCAAACCAAATCAATAAAACATAAATGGTGACAATTATGCTCCAGAAGCCCTCCAGAAAAGCTTGGTTGCATCGGTTTCTGGAAGGCTATTATCAAAGAATCAATCTCCCTTCTGGAGAGGCTGTACCATCACCAAAATGTAACATTTTCTGGCCTCAGGTCCCCTTAGTTCATGAAAATGGGACATCGCTACTAGTTTCTCCTAGAAGACATCTCAGACTGACACCATGTGGAACAAGAGTTCTGAACGTATCTTGGTACCAAGCCATATAGGGCTTCATAGTCAAAATTAGCATTTCAAGCTACACTTCAAATTCTACTGGCAACTATTGAGGGCCTGCAAAACATTGTAATAATTTCAAAATAACAAGGAGTACTTAAGAAGTGCTAATAATAAGTTGAACCAAATAATAAGTTGAACCAAATGCAGCTTCTCTATGGACTTCAAAGTTTATTACAGAAATTCAATCAGATAGTGGTAAGTAAGGGCACAAGTCACTGTAGCCAGGTCCTTCCAGTCCAGTCACGTACACAGCTGGCATACCAGCTACACATTCAGCAGAACTATGAACCAGGATTGAAGACCTGCTTGCTAAGGAGCAGTGCCAACACCTTAAAATACCTCAGAGTTAACAAAGGATGGTGAATAATAGCAACTTCATCTTTCTTGGGTTCAATTTTAACTTGCTTTGACCCCCCAGACTCCAGGTCCTGGGACATAAATTTAGCATTTCCAGCCAGATCTGGGATAGCAAGATATAGCTAAATATCATCAGTATATTGATGGCACTGCACGTCAGACCCCAACACAGCTCATCCAAAGAGCAGAGGTCATAGTGATCTGAGTGCACCAATTTGGTTTCCTCCCCATTTCTCTGTCTCTTCCCCCCTCCCCTAAGTTTATATGGATTTAATCCTCTCTTTGCTGGTGAAAATCCATGTGTTATCCCACGGTGGTATTGTAATAACAGAAAATATTATGTCTTGTGCAAATTACAGGAACTCTCTTAATTCAAATGAGAGGATGCAGAAAGACAGCAAGCGATCTCTGACTAAACACAGACAAGACTGCACTGATAATAGAAGTAGCTGGTTTCTTAACTTCCAAGGTCTGTTTAAGAACATAACAAAAATGCAGAAAAAGGGCTTGCCTTTTTTCTAATCTGGAAAACATTAAATTCCCAGGTTTTTAAAGAAATAAGAATTGATACTTACCTTTGGAAGAGCTACAACCTGATAAGCAGCTCTGGCTGGAAAGTTGCACTTGAAAACTATATGGAGTAGATAAAGAGCTCCAGTTAATAAATGACTGCACAAGTAGAGAACTGTGTTTACCTGAACTATATTAAATAGCAAGTTATAAAGTTAGGTAAGGACAAAGCCTCCTGGTTCTATATAGATTCATAGAGAATGCAAGTAGATAAATCAGCAATCTTAAGCATTTAAATCCCCATTTTTTTTTCAAAAGAAAGCATTTCCCTAAACAAATGTGTTTGCAAGGTATGAACAATGCCAAGTGAGGTCTTACAAACCAGAAGGATTTATAGAACCAAGCAATAGAGTTTCAGTCCCATATAAAGCACTTTCTAGTTTTAGTCCTATATAAAGCATTTTGTAACCAAATCAACACAGAGAGTCGTGGTAGTGCAGTGGTTAGAATGCAGTATTGCAGGCTAATTTTGCCCACAGCCAGGAGTTCGATTCTAACCGGCTCAAGGTTGACTCAGCCTTTCATCCTTCTGAAGTCGGTAATATGAGAACCCAGACTGTTGGGGGCAATATGCTGATGCTATAAACTGCTTAGAGCGGGCTGTAAAGCACTAGGAAGCGGTATATATGTCTAGGTGCCAGTGCTTTTTTTGTCATAGAATGCATGGTATGGCGTTCTGGCACCTTTTTTTGAAGGGAAGAACTGGCTCCTTCTAAGCTGCCAGCGCGAGTAAAGCTCTGTCTTGGTGAAAGGAAGCTGCCCGGGGAAATCAGGGGCATCGAAGGTCGACCTGGAAACACTTCCACGGCCCTGAAAGCAGACCCTCTTCTCTGCCTTGGTTCATGGGGCTCCCCCCGCCGCCGCCTGTCGTCACCCCCCGTGTAGGTCACCAGGGACCAGAACTGATTTCTGGACCGAATCTCTTCAAGGGACCAGGCACACTCCCAAAGCAGCAGTGCCACCGCCACCTTGGTTACTCTGGCTCCGGAGGGAGCCTCTGTGTCATCAGTGGCGGAGGAGGACGAGATGGCAGAAGACATGCCAGCTCTAAACAAGCGCCCTCTCAAAAGCCGTGGCAATGGCGTCCGTCAGCTGACGCTGCTCACATGATCTGCACCTCAGAAGCTCCCTAAACCGGTTCCCCCCCCCCCCCCCCGCTCCGTAAAGGGTTTTTGACTGGAGCCGGAACTGTGCATGAGTTCCAGCACTTTTTTTTATTTATTTACAAAAAAAGCACTGCTAAGTGCTATTGCTATTTGCATGCTTTTTAACAGATTATACACCTCAAATGTTCCTTTACAGTCTCCAGTCAAGTACTGCTTTGTACTTTGATATAATATAATTCATAAACTTCTATAGTTCTAGCAGAAGCCTAAAGACATGTTTGAATATATCTTCATCCAAACAAAAAATATGGTGAAGAAATTAAATATGCAGCCACTAACCATACTTACATTGCTTGTAGACTTCGTTAATATCATTAAAATCCTTCATGTCAGTCATCAGTACAGTAGCCTTTACCACTAAAAATGAAGAAACTTGTTTTCAATTATGCTTCACATCACCTAGCTATATACATTTAAGAAATTGATCAAATTAAGACTGAACTTTTGTGCATAGAGTTGCTTTACGGTGAGATGGGCAGCAAACAAATTATATAAAATTAAAAAAAATAAAATATATGTTTCAGAATAGGCCAGTCTTTATTCTGAGTAAACCTGTATAGAAGTGTGTTGCACATGGGAATTGATTTGGAATTGATTTATGAGCAGGCTAATCCACTTAGGATGGGGTTGACAAAATGGGATCAGTTATTCTTGGTAGTTTCTAAAAGTGTTAGATTTCATTTCCTGTAATTCGTCAGTTTGCATGGTTATGGATCAAGATGTCTAGATATTATTAAATGTTATCTATCTTATCTCTGGAGAGTGACAGTTTGTGAACACTTACTCTACAGTAGAGATGTAAAACCTATGATCCCAAGAATGCACATATTCTCCCCAAATCTTGGATCTGGCCCCTAGAGACTCCCAAAGAGTTGATACCAAATAGTAACATTTAATCAAACTGAGTCCGCCAATTTTGGTGCAATGGCTAAGGTTGCTGGCCTAGAAACCAGGAGATTGTCAGTTCTAGATCTCCCTTAGGCAGGAAAGCCAGATGGGTGACTTTGAGTTAGTCTCTCTCTCAGCCCACCTCACCTCACAGGGTTGTTGTTGTAGAGCAGGGGTGTCAAACTGCCGGCCCACGGGCCGGAAGCGTCATCTGGAAGCCACACCCACCCCATTGCCGGCAATAGAAAAACCGGCCCGATACGTTGAGTGACATCATGTGACATCATGAGTTTGACATGTCTGTTGTAGGGGAATTAGAAGGAGGCTTGTCACCTTGAGTTTTCCATAAAAAAAGTAGGATAAAAATCATCATCATGTAGGGAATAATGATACTGGATTGAAAAATGTTCCCAGAAACAAATTGTAATTACCTTTCAATGATAATGTTAATTACCTTTCAATGTTAATGAAGTGAAATTTTACTTCATTATCCTGTTATCCTGGGTACCATTGCAACAGTTATCCTGAACAATCAATGAATAGCTCTGTTCTTTTCTCATTAGGCAGAAAATAGCTTTTTCTCTCTATAAATTTATAGATAAGTTCACTAATTTATTTGAGTATAAACATACCATTGGAGGAGTCACAGCCAGCAGCTTTCAGAATTTCCCCAATGTTTTGGAGGGCCTAAGGAGGACACAGTTGAATTTATTTGAAGATGACAACATCATCTCTTGGACTCAGAACAGGGTACAAGGCAATCATATGCAAACACTAAAACATCATGAAATACATGGAAAACAGCCCATGATAATGAAAACATGCTATCCAAGAAAACATTAAATGATGGAAGTCCCAGTACAGAGAGGTTCAGTTACCAATAAACAAAACTATGTGTAGTTTAGGATTGAACTGAGGGGTGCCTTGGTGCTCTCTCAGCTTAGTTGTTCTCTTGCAGATGTTTCATTACCCAAACTAAGTAAGATCATCAGACTAGCACCTGATTCAATATCTAGTCTGGGTAATGAAACATCCGCAAGAGAACAACCAAGTTCAGAAAGCACCAAGGACCCCTCGGAGATTGAATTAGTTGATTGAATTTAACTTTATCAAGGTAGGAAAGTAAGCATGCAACAAATGGAAATTACATATAGTAGCAGCTGCATTCTTTTCCTTATGGAGTGCCATCCATAGGGCAATCCTCGAGGAAACACAATTTGATATACAGAAATAGTATGGAAAGGCGCAGGTATTTTACCCTGTGCTAGAGTTTGCAGTGGTTCCTGGAAGGTATATAATTAACAGGACCTCTATTTTACATACCCAGTTCAACTGTTTGTTTGCTTAGCATGCTCCTGTATGCATTTTATATGTATACCTTTTCATTTAACAGTCTATTGTAGCAACCAACATATACACAGATATCATGAAGTGTTTACCATTTAATGCTCAAAAACTTTTAAAAAGTTATATTAATACTTTCGTGTCTCTGGAAGGTTTGTTCATTAAAAAAAAAAAAACCCACAGGATATGATGCTTCTGCTCTGTGCCTTTTAAGCTGAACTCAGCCGGCATAATTGCCCTTTCACAACCACAAAACTGAAGGTCATTCAGTTTTAATTCAAACATTTGTTGGCAGATAAAAGTTGATGATTTTGTCAATGGAAGTCAAAAGGCAGAAGCAATTAAACATTTGGCAATAGGGGATGGCGGGATTTAGTTCAGTCACTCTTTGTTTTGCTGACAGAATGCCTCTTCTCTGAAATTACAAGTAAGGTTTTGTTTTATTTCAGCTCTGTTGAGCTCAAATAATAATGTCTATTTCTACAATGAAATAAAATACCAGATCCTCTATTTTGAACTTTGTGGATGTGTTCTTTTCATACAACAAATGTTATATGTTCCAATATCTCAGGGGCTGCCCCAAAGAAGAGGAAGTCAAGCTATTCTCCAAAGCACCTGAAGGCAGGACAAGAAGCAACGGATAGAAACTAACCAAAGGGAGACGCAACCTAGAACTAAGGAGAAACTTCCTGACAGTTAGAACAATTAACCAATGGAACAACCTGCCTCCAGAAGCGGTGAATGCTCCAACACTGGAAGTTTTTAAGAAGAGACTGGACAGCCATTTGTCTGAAATGGTATAGGGTTTCCTGCCTGAGCAGGGGGTTGGATTATATGACCTCCAAGGTCCCTTCCAACTTTATTATTATTATTATTATTATTATTATTATTATTATTATTATTATTATTATTATTATATCATCCTCATCATCAAGCAACAGCATCTGCCTATCCCATTTCCTAAATCCAATCTAAACACCTTGCTGACTATATGACCAACCATAAAAGTAATATTAGACTTGTTAGTAGAATAAGTGAGGTCAGATTTCACCTGGTAAGTTTGTTCTTTTGCACCTCCTGGAACGAGTTGCCCACTGGAGGGATCCATACCAAGCTGCCCTGCAATATACATGGTCCGATCTACCAACACTGCTTGGCTAAGATAGTAAAAAAACAAAGGAAAAACAGGAATCAGGGAAGAGAATAAGAGAGACTGATTGATTTGCTATTTGAATATATAATTATTAGTAGTAACAAAAGCCTTGCTGGGCCACCTTTAGAAACCTGGTTTATTTTCACCACTTTCTGTCAATGTTTGTTCTACACAGCAAGAATTTAGTTCAAAAGAATATGAACCAGAGAACATTAAATCTTGCATCAAAGTTATTAGTTAATAGATGTTAATAACCTCCTCTCAAAGTGGAACAATTATAGGATACTGTATAAATAATCTTTTAAATATAGCATTAGTCACACTGCATGGCTAACATGGCAAGTTACTTACAGGTAGTCCTTGACTTACAACCATTCATTTAGTAACTGTTTAAAGTTACAATGGCACTGAATAAAATGATTTTACAACCGGGCCCCACACTTAAGACCATTGCAGCATCTCCATGGTCAAACAGTCAAAATTTGGGCACTCGGTTTATATTTATGATTGCAACATCTTAGGATCTTATGATCATCATTTGCTACCTTCTGAAAAGCAAAGTCAATGGGGAAAATGGATTTGCTTAACAACTATGTTATTCACTTCAGTGATTCACTTAACAATCATGGAATAAACATCGTATAATTGGGCACAACTCACCAATCATCTTGTGTAGCAATGAAAATTGTAGTCCTAATTACGGTCATAGTTTGAGGACTCTCTGTATATGTTTTCATTAAAAATACAATGGAAGGTGGAGTTATTTATGGGGGGAGGGCTTGGTTGAATAAGATCTACCGTAATCTAAGTTTTGCTGAAGTTTTTGGTATTGATGTTAATGCTACTAGAAAGAAAGAAATGATGTCAACTAATCAATTATCTGTAAAATTGATGTTAACAGGATTGGGATGGGTTTAAATATTATAAAATAATAGAAATTAAATACATGGCTATTTGGGAAGTAAATTCCCAAGTCTTCTTATGGTTCTTCTGACCTGATTTCTGGCTGTTCAATAACACACCTTTGGCATTAACTCGCATACCAGTTCAGCAGGTATCTCTTAAATGCTTTAGAGCATTAATCAATTAATTTGGAGCAGCATTTTGCAATGCTCATACAGAGAAGCTTTCAAGTCAATTTAAATGAGATAAATATAGACTGGGACCAACATTTCTGTTTACATGACCGCATGCTGAAAGTTTAAAATAATTTTAAAAAATACACAAAGTCAATTTTGTATGGGAAAAATAAAATTTCTTTCACTAATGAATGCATGGGACTGAGCTTACCTTCTAATAACATTCAAAACATGTTTTTGTTTTTTAAATTAAGCCTGTTGTTTTCCCATTATCATTTTTCTTATCCTATTCCTACAAATGGGATCTTCAACAAAACATGCCTGTGTGGAATATCCATATTTCAATCATCTTTATTTCCTGATGTATCAAATCAATACACCTTGTGAATTTTCATTTTTTTCTAAGTTATGAATAGTCTCTGGCTACTGAACCCTCACTGAAAAATCTATCATCTTTGTGTTTTTCCTCTGTAGCAAGTCTGTTCAAACTACAACCCTTTACAGCTAGTAATGTGGTCCCATACAATCGTAATAAAAATGTATTTATATAAATTAACTATATTATATATTTTATATGTGGCCCAAGATTTCATTTTTAATGCAGCCCATAAAGTTGGACATGCTTGCTCTATACTAGGTCACATTCTACTAAATCAGGACAGCTTAAGTGAAACTCCAGTCATCTCATATTATTTCCCATCTGGGCCAGAACATACTAAGGGTGGAGTTAAGAGCGCAACTTTCTACTATCGTACAGATCTGATTAAGTGAGCTGCAGTTCATAATAATTAATGTCTTTTAATAAAATCCGTTACTTGGAAAGGCTGCTACCAGACTCCTGATTTTTGGTCATGATAGACTAGTATGGCTCTCTTCCAATCTCCACGAATTGTTGGCGAGAAAAAGTTTTTGCCATACAAGCAACTTCAAACAAATTTTAAAAACGACTAGATCCCATAGAAGCCTCCTCCTGAAGACTGTGCCTTGAGAAAGGATTAGCTCTTTTTTTACACATTTACACATTAATTAGTCTTTTGAAGTGTGGACAGCATCTGTACAAATGACTGAAAAGTGCAACAACAGCAGGCCAGTCCTTTTACATAGTGAACCAATTACTAGCACAATTTAGCTGCTTGTACAATTTTCCATTCTACAAATTTAAGAAACTTTGTCAGTAGTGATTAAAATCCACACATTGTTACTGGAAAGATTAATTAGAAATAAAGAAATCAAGCATGAATTTGGGCATCCTTGATCAGAAAAAAAAAGAATTTTGGATGAGAGCCAATTTGGAATCTTATCCCAAATCAAATATTGCAGAAGGTTGGAAATGCTATGAACATGCATTTTTATTAGCTATTTGAACAAATATTTACAACATTTTAACCTGAACTAAAAACATTGGACATGGCAAAAGGCTATACTGTAACTATCTTTACTATATTTCAGACTAGCATTTATAATTACTGCATCACTGATTCATGTTTAGAGAAAATAATTAAGAGTTTCATCCAAGTCTCTTTGAAAAGATTAAAGTGAACCCTTAGTCACTAGTGAATACTCTGAATTAAAATCACGTGTATTGTCAGGTGAGCACAGTGAATTTGCAAAGCTGGTTCCTACCAATCTGAGTAGTGAAATCCTATTCTCCAACTGCCAGTGTCACTTTCCAAGCATTTAAACTCATTCACTGCTGTTGTGCAAATCTTTAGTTTTGCATAAAAGAGGATATTGCTAACGTGTCCTGTCAGGTGAGCACAGTGAATTTGCAAAGCTGCTTCCTACCAATCTGAGTAGTTTCTAAATCCTATTCTCCAACTGGCAGTGTCACCTCCAAGCATTTAAACTCATTCACTGCTGTTGTGCAAATCTTTAGTTTTGCATAAAAGAGGATATTGCTAATCAGAGATCTGTATTTTTTTTAATATGAATTAAAATTTCCTTTGAACTAAGCATAGAGTGACCTTCCACAATACATTGATTTGGTGGACAGGGCCTAAAAAAACAGAAAAATAGTAATATAGTTATTAGAATTATTTTAGTGAATATGAAAATAAGATTGGTAGAGTATTGTTTTATAAGTTTTAATCTGCACACTTGCAAAAAGAAGACGCCGAGGAACCTGGATTCAAGCAAACAGGAGTGGCAATCTTTAACCTTATAGTATTCATTAACTATGTCAGTTGAGCAACTCAAGGATTATTTCGTAAAAATACAAAGTAAAAGATAATGAAAATGTAAATCAAGAAAAATGA